GCCCGAGCAACACGCGTAGAACGCTCGGATAGTATTTACATATTTCTCAGGTACACCTTTCCTGACTAGACACTCCTAAAGTGTACGTCTATACACCGATTCGAATGCATCTTTGATATCGAGGAACATGACAGTGGTGGGCCGCCAACATATGTGACGGTACTCCAGCAACTGACACAAACTGAATATTTGATCGACGCAGCCCCTGACCTTGACGAAACCCTGTTTGCTCATCACGCATCTGACTTTCACGCGTGCCAGTCAGTCTGTGAAGGATGACAGAGGCAAGCAATGTGGAAGTGATGGAGATCGAACTGATTCCTCTATAGTTGACGCATTTCGATCGTGTGCCTCCCTTGAAAATTGGAACTATGATGGAGCGGCTCCAGTCGGTTATGACAGTTTCTTGCTACCATCTTTTCACTGGCAACTCGAGTAACTCATCCACAAGAGCAGATTTCTCGAATTTGAAGAGGGATAGGGAAAAATCATCTGGTCCTGAGACTTTATCTAACTTCAACAGTCCAATCTCACGTTCGACTTCTGAGCGAGAGGGCGGCTTCAAAGGGACATCCCAAGGGGCGAGCCGATCAGTGGCCGGCGAGAAAACTGACGATTCCGACCGATTAAATTGCCTTTCAAAGTGCTCATCCAAACGCAGCAAGCTTTTTGACAAGTTGTGCATAGGCTGTCCACTCTCGTTACAAATAGTTTCACTAACACCAGGACTGCTGCTGCCCGTTTCCCGTATCAGACGAATGGTTACCAAGGGCTGTGGCTATTTCCATCTCTGATGCACGATGAGACCATCTGGATTCGCGATCTCACTTCAGGCTAGCATGGAGTTTGTCCCGGAGATTTCTGCGAGTCTCATTGTGTTCACTTCCAGCCGGAATGCGTCGGTGAGCATCGACAAGTCCCAGAGACTGCGAAGAGACCCAATGTCCATGCTGGCTAGTAGGCTTGCAACATGAGGACTTGCCTTTGGTTACTAAGGTCTGGTGAACATGAGACCAGTGGGCGCTTACTCAACTCGCATGTCAGCGTAATTTGATAGGCAATCAGAACAACTGGCTTCGTCAGTTGGCTAGTGTCAATGCGCTCACAGCGCCGTCGTGGACGTCCGCCAAATAGCATCCACAGTTCAGCACATACAACTGCCTGGCCGGTGTTCACACATGAGCTCCAAACAGAATGATAGTCCTGGACGCACCTTCTCCAGCGGTAACTTGTTGCAGTGTGCGCGATTAGTATCCATAGCTGGTTCGAGGCTGGTGGGCGCCAAGTCACCCTCCGGCGGGTGCTGTGTCGCAAATTAGTGCTGGTGAAAAATAAACGAGTATCTTCACATAAATGTAGTAATCGCTCACTGTTATCATTACGGGAGCCTACACTATGTTGGCCGCCAAAATGCAGTTCGTCAGTGGCTAATATTCCAACTTGAGCGTTCAGATCCCCAGCCAGCACTAGTGTCCGAGCTTCTTCTGTGGTGAGGGAGCTCGTTCAGTTGGCGCTAGGAGTCATCTTTTACCGAATCATCGCTAGAGTTCGTGATTGCAAACGCAGCAATGATGAGTAGACACCTGTTAGTCCCACGCGAATTCGAAGCTTTGAACGAGCCAGTCAATCGCACCGCACACATCCGTCTATTGATTGGGATCCAATCAATCAGAGCAGCTTCAACCCGGGGAGTCAGGGCAATACCAACACCGGTTTGGCCGGTGCTCGAAGCTGCATCGTCACCGGATAGGCGTAATGAGAAAGTGCTGCTAGGGTCACCTGAATGGGATCGTAGAGAGATCACAAAGCTCGAGTCATGCAGGCGGGTCTCCGATAAGCAGCAGATATCGATTGGGAGGTTCTCTAACGTTCGGGCAAGTGCTGCCTATTGACCGATCTGTAGCAATTTACGTACATTGAGGCATGCCAATCTGAAGGATGATCGAGGGCTTCCAATGGAAGCCGATGAACTGGGCTTGACCGCTTGGCTGGACGTGGGCTTGTCGACAGAACAGGAGTGACCAACCTCGTTTGCTTGCGCGTTGAAATTAAGAGAAAAACGACTATTGAAGCAAAATGGGGGAGGGCCAAGAATTGGGGGCTGGAAACAGGGGGATAAAAGTGAAGCTAGGACGGGACGTTAAGAGTGAAAAAGCGTAACAGGGGAATAAGAAGACGGGAAGGCTTGAGTAGTAGCATCCAAACCCCTATCCACACTGCTCGATGCAGAAGATAGGGCACCGATGATTATTCTCCGCGGTGGCCAGAGCATCAGGAAACTGTATGAAGAGAAATTCGTAGTATTGCGTGGGCAGGATAATGTCAAGTTGCTCAGGCCTAGACAGGAGAACGATTAGGGTTCTCAACCGAAGCCTTTGCTTCAAAACCTGACCGCAAGGCAGCGGACTTGGCGTTGGGCTACAAGGAGTCCGTATTAAGTAGTAAAGACCCACCCTCATTCCAACCCCCAACCTGGAGGACCAGGTGGCTGAATTTGTCCGCTCTCTAACCGTTGACCAATCTGGTATGAGTGGCTCTGAAGTTGCAAAAAATCACCACCCAGCATATCTCAATGGATCTCTGAAGGACGCAAAACATCGCACGACGGTAAGGTCCAGCTTCATTGCGATGGTTCAGGACGGGATCGAATACAGCAACATACCGAATGGGGTTGAAGGTCATCGCGAACCCACTCAGGATACGACTTTATTCTGATCCGGGAAATTACCAGCTGAATTGTTTAGGTGCGGCCAAAATACGACCAGCTGCTGAGAGAAGAAAGAGGCCACATAGGGTAAGTTTTTAGCAACTCTGAGATTTCCGTGTTTTACTACTGTACGTTGGGTAGCATGTCCCAAAATTATAGTTTAATTTTGTACCCAGAGGAAGTGAGTAGTTGGTCTATTAGAACAATGATTACGTTTGTTTGATTTAACCAGACCGAACGCATTTGGCTTTATTCCGGCTTTCGGCCTTGAACGTTACCTGCGACCTCTTTGTTGACTTCCGTTTCCTCACCTAACTTGACTCTCTTTACCAATTACTTAACGTAACATATTGATATTAAACATACGTTTTTCCGAACTTGCTTTACGCATTTTCCCAAGGCTTGGTTGGATATGGGTGTATAGCGACAGATCTCTGCCGAACTCAGCCTCCCCAGCTACTGATGGACAGCACGTAGTTAAACAGCGTCTCTCATTAAACGTTAGAAATACTCTGTGTATGAGCAGTTAACCACCTGTTGATTAATGGCGCGGTGACTACGGTCAAAGTGGTAACGTGTTCTTGCTAAAGACTGTCTTATAATTCCCAAAGCCAGCTAACAACTCAAGGTGCCTCCGTTCACAACAGGACAAGTTGAAAGCGCAGAATAGATGCGACTCATTCCAACTACCAACTTCGCGAAATTTCGTTAAACCACAGTCCATTGAATCCCATGCTGCTCCAAGAACATATGGAGGGTAAAATATTCACCCACACAAGTAACACTCACGCAGCGGTGTGATCACTGTTGGGAAAATTTTCCTTGATATCCAAATGTCCGGTTTCTCATGCGGCTTAGAATTATGCGCAGGACAACATTAGTAAAACTGCCATTATTACTGATGACTTACCGGCTGAGCCTCATTTGTGGAGTCCACGGTTTCGTCCGCTGCATGCGCGTCTTCAATCCTGGAGTGGAGATAATCTTGCTCAGTTAAAGCTCTGAGCAACCTGATTGGAGTGCCATTTTCAAGTATTTGTGTGATTGCATTGCGACGCGTGATCTCATTATGGATCATGATTCGCACTGAAGTGTACCTTGGTCAAATCGATCACTAGGACCACGGCTGACGTACACGGAAATTGTGTGCAATGCTCCCGAAAACGCCGAACAACCTACTCCTTCTAAGAGGGCCAGTGAACTGTGTGCACGGAATCAATCAAAGCTGTAGCTGCCTTATGTTAACGCTATAACCCTAAGACTGTGTTATGCAAAGGTAATCACATTGGAAGCATTTAGGAGAGCTCGATGAATGCTCCTGGATTCAATGTTGTTTGGCGACATCTTAGCATCCCAACCCCACTATTCCATTCAACCGTCCTTATTCGCAGTTAAATTCAGCAAGTTTTAAGGAGCATGAGGCAGCGTAATGTTGTTTGCGCATCAAGTTAGTCTCGCTTTTAGATAGATTCCAGTGGAGCCGAGGTATTTTAGTTCCGATGGGATTTGAGAGACCAGGTTGTCACATCTATGAAGCCAGTAGAAAGATGTGCGTTATCAACACACCAGCACATTGTACTGACGCTTCGCTGCCCTGCGACCACCACCAGTTTCTCGTGGGCTAGGTCTATTGCCAGGTCGCGCGCACAAACACGGTTTCCAACCGGGGACCTTCGGAGTACAAGGCAGACGTGTTGTGCTTTCGGCCACCGGCCAACACACTGCCCACGTATTCTTACACCCCTAACACCTATTTTTACACCTAATTGGTGGTCCGTTAGAAGCGGCGTTCGGGTGGTTGTGACCACGTTGCAACAAGCGGAAGTTTAGCATGGAGCATCCGTAACAACCACGAAGGTTCGGCTTGTTCGGCCGTCACACCATTCAGTGATTCGATCTTTAAACAACCGCATTGCAAGGGATTATTTATAAGCACAAACCAGTATTGTTGTTCCACTCTACAAGCAGTCCACTTAGTGCTACTAGTGAATACAATCACCAGCCTAAACCCTTATAAGTGCACAAACCTCATGGGAAGACGGAGTCACCTTAGACACTGGACTCCGTTTTACCCGTTCAGTTTTGCTTTCGTGGTATTTGGGGATCACCTATGGAATCCTTCAAAGAAGTCGGAGCAACCAATCCAATCAACTTACACACAACAGTTGAGCGAACGCTGAATGGCCCATCCACATAGTCATGTTGATACACCCACCTTTGGGCAATCAAGGACATTCCGTATCGATCCCGCACTTACCTTATCCGTCGATGCACAAAACCGCGGGTTCCTATTGCATGTGTCAGTCCCACCGTCACCGCGATTCCATAACATAGGTATACTTACCCGTGCCAGCAATCAGGATATTAGACCAAAACATAACAACTACAAAATTGCAATAAATCGTCCTAAAAGTTCAAACATAACGGGAAAATGTCGGTGACCTAGTAAGACGCACATTCTGCCGTGTGGCAAGTTCAACAAACAAAGCAGCAATGTGGACGTAGCTGCGAAAAATGAGCACACAGATCTTGCTGATTCTACGCTTGATTCAGTTTTCTCTTTGTTCTCTTGTGGACACTACATCTACGCTGCAGTTGACACAGACTAAGTCACAATCTGATAAATGGAAGTGTCCCCCTGAAAGACCAGTTGTGTTTACCAGAGTTGGTGCTTACTGTGGAATACGAGAAGTGGTCCACTGGCCAGATGGGATGGCTTCAAAAGTTGATATATTTTACGGTAAGTCATCTTGGTTACACTATAAGGAAAACGTATTTCAAGGCTTGTTCGCGAGTGTGGCGACTGCTGAGGTTACAAATTGGCTTTGAGTAAAACAGTGTATCATCGCAGACACAATTCCTTTTGGCCGGAAGAGTTCTTTAGGCTGGTTGCACACCGGAAGGGTAGAGCGCACTTGGCCTTCAAATGACGCGGCGATGGATGCTGCATTACATGAGCTCCCTAGTGCATTGCAATGCAGAACTCGAAGAGTGAAGTTTTTCTCAGACCTATACTGGCGATAATGTTCCACTCAGAGAAAGTGCCTCGGGTGTGACCACATGTCGCTATACCTATCAAACGGTGGGTGAGTTGTTGCCTTGCAAACGCTCATCATCGTGGTCATATTTGTAGCAATACATTGGGGCGAAATTTGCTTTTCCCATGCAGTTACTAGGGTGGCTACTTTTTGTGGCAAATAGAGTGCAATCCTCACTGCTTCATAGTGTTCAGTGCAACTGGTGGTCTGTGTATACACTTCGCATATTGTTGGCTGCAGCTTGCCTTGATCTGTCGCTTACAGGATAACCCAGAGAACAATGAGTGATAGACCAAGTGTTTCCTGATGACATTTTTAGTGAAAAGATTGATGCTAGCGCCGCGAACATTAAATTCATAAAAGATTCTCACCACATTTTTTCAGTTTGTGCTGCAATTCGCATGTACCTATTCACTAACGTGCCAACTTTGGGTATTTGAGTTAGCAAGCACACAAAACTGCGTACAAAAATAAATTTCCTGGGCCTTAGCGTGCTTAATGACGCATCAGGACTTACGTGGCAGGTGGCTTTTCTGCCTACATGGAATGGTATTCACCTAAATGTTTACAAATGTCGGTCAGAAGCACCTTCCTTCAAGGACCGCATGCATGACTCCAAGTGCTCGATAATTGGGTAGGTCTAATGTATAAGATCCAAGCTTCGTAAACTTTTGGCCACTTCCCCTATAGGTAATTGATGAACCCAACGCGCCTATTCCGTGTGATGTAGGTCACAAGTAATCTCATTTTTAAGACACGCCGGGACGGTAACCGTTAGACAATTGAGCGACAACTGCTCTACAAAACTGACGTCCTATCAACGCAAAGCGAGCACTCTGGGGTACTCTGAATCACAATGAAATCCGTCCATCTGAACGAACACAATGCTGCCACTGCCACAGATGCGGCCTACGCAAGGCATGTGCACCAAAATCCACCATCATGTTTGCAGACGTGGAAACAGCTGCATCGGCAAAGCCAACTGGTACCTTCGTACCCTAACTGAAGAGCAGATACCAAGTCTGATTATTACGGCTACAATACAGCAAATAATGAGAGAGTCGTCAAGGTGAAAACTCTCCCTCCCATCGTTGGTTATCCGCCCGTGCGAAACAGGCCATCAGTTTGACCGGGACTCTGAGCTCCCTCTTATATAACTCAAACCAAATTCCAGAGATCTTATCGTTCTCGGAGTTGTCAAGTCAAATATAGTCAATAAAATGCTTTCTTAAGTTTATTGGGTTGTCGGGAGCAGCAGGGAAAACGTTTTCGGCTCCGTGAATCCCGAATCATTCTGGGCTCGATGCTTGCCTTTGCTTTACTCTGTTCCTCAATAGTCTGTCGCAGCTGCAGTGAAGACAGGAATATCCCAGCATTCTCAGCGAGTGTTAGTCCAACATCCAATTGAAAATTTCCTCGGAAGGCATATCCACATTTGCCTCCGGTAAACTGTTCCAGTCGTTCATCCCTCTATTTAGTGGACTGAGTGAAATCCGGGAAAATTCGATATCCTTTTTTGAAACAGCTTTCACGTGTGACCTCCTGTGGAACATTCGGTGTTGGGCTGGGAAAACTGCTGTAACTCACCTCCCAGTTCTTCTTGCGTAATGCGTCTAGCGTAGATGAGATCACCCTGACGACAGCGGAACTCCATGGAAAACAAATTAAGATGCTGGAGCCGAATGGGGTGTGGGAGATCACGAAGCTCTAGAACTGATTTCGAGGCAGGCTTCTTAACCTTTTACAACAGAGCTTACTCAACTGGACGGAAGTATGACGTGAACAGAAGTCGAAAAATCTCAAGTCATTCAAGTAAAGGATCTGTCTAAGGCAGCTACTAGTCCGTTTGCAGTTTCCGTCTTCCTCAACGTATGCTGAGATGTTCTAAGGTCAGAAGACTAGATAACCCAGAGATCTCTGCCGTGAGTGGTATTCCTGAGAATATACCTACCAAAGTGATATGTAGCACATGGGAGAAGAGGTTGTTTATCGCGGTTTACTAGTATTCGCTACTTAATAGATCAGTTGTGCAGCTGGTCTAGAGCCCCCTGCATTCTGTAAACATCCTCAAGCTTGGATACTGTTAACCGTAGCTTGAGGTTTTCGGCGTAAAGCAGGTAGTCGGGTGGTCGTTGATGCACAGTTTGAATAGTTCTGGTTCAAGCACGGATCCTTGGGGAATGCCTCTAGTCATCGCACAAGGACGGGGAAAGTTTGGTTCACTTTCACCCACACTGCCTGACCACTTAGAAACTCGGCAAGTCTAGACAGAAGATTTTCTGTGATGCCATTTTCTTAGTGTTTAAAGAGCAGCCGCTCAGATGGAACTTTGTCAGAGGTTTTACTGAAGTAAATGAATATTACGTCAACTTGTTTCCGAGTATCTTTATCTTCTACGCATGTTTCTCTGGAGATAAGTTGGATATACAAGAGCTTGCTCTCCGGAAACCCTGTAGGGAGTAAGTGATGATGTTCAGGTGCCCGCCTGACTGTTTCTTCCATGGTTTTGCAGGCTATTGATATGAGACACATTGCTATATAATTCACGCGGCCTTGTTGGTTTCTCCCCTTGTATTTGGACATAATGCTACCTACTTTCCAGTTTGCGGGTATGCGGCCAACTTCAAAGGAGTTCCGAAATACTTGGTAGCTGGGGGTGGCGATGTACTCAGCTATCGTCTTGCGGAATGTGATGTGCCATACACCCGGCCCTGGAGAGGGGTACAGGTGCAGTTCGAGGAGGAGCTTCTTAACTACATCAGGGTTGAGTCTGACTTGCTCCAGAGAAGAGTAGTATGTAGGCAAACAGTTGCTGAGCAGCGGTGATACCACTGAGTAAACCTGTGAATATTGCACACCTAGTAGGTTTGCCTTTTATCATCGTCGCAGAGTACGAAGCCTTCCTTAAATAAGGGTAACGCGGAGATGCCACTATCCGTTTTAGCATTTCTCTCCAGATAGATAAAACTCTTTTTGGGACAAGTATGAGATTCCTTGGCCAGCTCGTGCTCTTATTGTAGTGTTTTGTTACGTTTTCTTAGGGTGCATAGGTTTCTGACAACTTTGTCCTGAGAGTAGCTTGACGCCAAACGCGGGATCTAGAAATGGTCCCACAGATTCAGTGGTTGTTACCGTAGGGGGTTTAAGTTCCTGATCAATCCCAGGGAGCCCTTCGTATGCTGGCCTGCTTCTGCAATTTGGAACCAGTTGTTCCATAAGAGGCATGTTAGGTCATCTATTTTCCCATGCCTCAGCAATATCCAAGGCGAGCAGGACAATTCAATCCGAATTGCTGACAACTGTCCTTAAACTAGATTAGTCTGGGCGCCAAAAATTGTGAAGGAGTGTCCCCCGAGTGTGGATTGTGAGAAGTCGCGTCCATAAAAGCGAAACGGTACAGCGATAGCTCTTCCCAAGCATTTGGAGTGTCGTTAGACCAGAGAATTCGAATAGGGCCGGGGTGAAGACCAAGCCTACAATGTATGGTGTTTGGCCTGGGATCATCGTTTCGGTGTCGAGCCATGCTATGTCAGGTTGTACTCGAGGGCAGTAACGAGGAGATAGTTTTCAAGGGATTCTGATGGGCGATCACTGTGAAGAAGGTCCAAGCAAATTCCGGGGACGTCAAAGTCAGCGATAAGCAGACGGTTGCTGCCGCTGCTGTGGGTTCCCACGGAATACAAAAGGTATGAGCCAGGTGTTGCAGGAAATCTGTAGAACACTCCGACCATCATCTATTGGCAGTCTTCATGAATTGGACACCAGATCACTCCTGACGTATCATGGTTATAACAATCTAATTCGACAATATGGACTTTGAGGTATGTCACCAGTAGAAGACTATTCCGCCTCCAGATCTCTCACTAGAGCGATCATATCACGACAGTTGATACCCTGGAGCATGAACCCACGACTCCGATATCTTAGCTGACAGTCAGGTCTCGCTGAACGTCATTAGGTCTCATTGCTGCTCGAAGATAAGGAGTGGAGAGTCTTCTAGCTTGATTGTGAAACTGCGCACTTTCGCATGTACTACTCGAAAGCGGCTTTTATTTTTGAGGTCCAGCGAGTAGGAGGAGGGCTGGTCCCCATCGAGACCGCTGGATTTTTCGTATTACGCATATGTCTCCATTTGTTCGTCGGATTCACAGCTCGAAGACAGTTTGCCTAATTCTGTCTCGATCCTCCTAGGAGAGACCGTTCAGGATGTACGAGGTTCCTCTCTTGAGGCGCCGAGGCCCATCTCAGTATGCGCAGACACTCATCTTCCTCCTAACAGACGATTTTTAGAGAGCGAAACTTGGTTTGGTCCTCCTGTTGTTTGTTGCCAAGACGAGATTGATCTTTTGTCCACCCCCTCATCAAACATTCGCTTAAGGGAGACTTGGTCGTGCACTACTCTCAGCTGGAGTCACTTAGTCAGATTTGGGAATGTTTGGGTTTATCAAGTAGAGGTTGCGAGCGGGGACATGTTTCTTTCCGGTGACTCTGGCTTTTGTGTGCATTGCTTTTCTATACTTAGTCGCTCTAGCTACGTTATTCTGTCTAGAACGAGCTTTAGCTCCTTGTCAGTGTTGGTTGCCTTCATCTTGGGTCGTGATGACATCTTTTTTGGGTCTTGTTTGCAGCTGTGGTTATCTTAGCTGTTGCTCAGGTGTTGGCGCTCACCACTGTCGCAGAGGTTTTGGGCCCAACCCTCAGC